ACTGGAAAAACAGAATTAACAACTGGGAAGCTGTAGATGAAAATATCCTAATGGTCAACTTGAAACTACATGGCAAAGGACGAAAGAGTCGGCAATAAGCAGGAGTTCTTCAACAAATTGGACGAAATCCTAGTAAATATTGGAAGAAATATAAAAATCATAATGATAGGGGATTTCAATAGAAGAACGGGAAGGACGAACAATAGCCCAGTTGTAGGACCATTTGGAGAACAACTAATCAATGATAATGGCCAAAGGCTCATACATCTCTGTGAGACCCACAATCTTAGAATAAACGATGGATTTTTCAAACACAAAGATATTCTGAAATTACCTGAAAACTATTATGCGACTATGTGATAAGCAAACAACAAACGATGTAAGAGTTCTAATGCCCAGTTTTATAAGCTCAGGTTACCCCTGCCCTGAGAGTTAATCCGCTGACAGATGCGTGATGCTTCATTTTATGAACCAGAGTGTGAGTTAACCCTGCCCCTCCATTTGGCTCGTGGTCACTCTGGAGTTTAGTGGTTGTCACGCGCAAAATGCGGAAATTATAAAGAAATAAAACGAGAGGTTATTGCATAATGTTGAAAAGAAAATAATAAATAATTAATTTGCATTTTGAAAATTATAATAATCTATTTTGTTTGTTATTGGATAATTTAAAAAGTACATTATCCAAAACTGGGTATGTATTGATGCTTGTAGCAATGTTTGTCTGAGATATTTATTTGAAATTTTTGATTAACTCTTCACATTTTTTTTGTGCTTTCCTTTTCGTGGAGTGTAAGGTCCGCGTCAAGAGTAAAGAGTACGGTGAAGTTAAATGCGCACAAACCCAATTTTGAAGACTAACCGAACTATCGTATTGTTTGGTGCTGCTGCCGAAGGCCAAGCACGTGGTTCATTGTCGTACGGCCAGCAGGTATATTTATTTAGTTTATTTTCTATTCAAGTTTTGTCTAAAAAGATACCCCGCTGCTGGTTTCAGCTCACGGCCGAGGTCACGGCAGACAGCGAGAGATAGACGAGGGAGAGAGATCGGACCCGCTTCGCGCAGCTTTCTGTGTCGTCACCGTACTCTTTACTGCTGACGCGAACTCACTCTGCCCATTCAGATGCCACTATTTCCCCCATAGCATCCTTTTCTTTCGTTGTAACTGCATCAGTTTTCTTATTTTCTAAAATGTGCTTGTAGGTTTCTACAAATGCAGTCAGTGCAGTAATTTCTTCTTCCGAGAAGTTCACGCACTCATTCTACTGCTCATCATATCCATTTTCACATAGGTATGGAATTTCGTCTCGAATCTCTTAAATTATATTTACAATACTCGCTCAAATTTTTCACGCCACTACTGACTAAACCAAAGATAAACTAGAGTCAAAATCGATATTGAAATATAAATAAGGAGCAGTTAAGTTGTTTGTTTTTTTTTTTTTAAAGAATGAATGGTTATGTTGTGTCTGAGTTCTTCTACTGTATACATTTTTACAGGGATCTTTGTATTTTAACCCGAGTCTTAACCCTTAGGGTAACTCGAGATATTTAACTCTTCTTTATAAAATCGGACGGAGGAATAAATTGCGGGTCAGATCATTTTTTAGTAAGAGCCAAAATAAAGTTGCAATTTAGGAAAACGAACAAGAACCCAGAGGAACAAAACATTAATGCCAGAATACCTCATGCTCAGAGGTATGGAGATTTCTATCAAATGTCAAAAACCCAGGAACGGACAGAGCTAATATCCAGATTATCAAACCAGAGCAATGGATAGAACACTACAAGGGTCTATTACAAGAAAGTAGACCGGAATATATATTAAATTCTCCGAGACATATTGAACTACATAGAAAAGTTAGAAAAGTAGTTCAGATATCTGGATCCCTATTCTTGAAACAGGGAAGCAGCGTTCCCAGGAGAACGAGAATAAGGACTCTGAAGAAACAGTAAAAAAGACTGTTAGGAATTTTAAGTCAGGTAAAGTTAGCGGCCCAGAAGGGATATACTCCGAAATGCTGAAATCCGGAACTGAGAAGCTCTTTGAAGGAATCACATGTGAGGAAAACCCCTATTTAACATGTTATTTCTTCAAATCCTAACTTTTTAAAAAACGTTTACTGAATAAAAATAAATGTTGCAACCATGTAATAAATGAAGTTTAGCTTTAGGGGAGAACGAGGCCGCCGCGCCGCCACGAGAGAGCGTAGGTACCGAAAGGGTAGAAGACAGAAAAAGAGAAACCAAGTAAGAGGTTTAGATTCGCCATTGTTGATTTTCCAATTTCTTGTATTTGTATTAAAAACTTGATCGTCAAATCAAGTTTGTGTTTTTGTGATTAGTTTGTGTAAGGAGCATTCACAGGTTAGTTGATTAAATGTTATTTTGCTTTGAGAGTTTAATTTATACAAGTATTTTTTCATTTATTTAATATTAGTTTTTTGTTTGTTTATAACATGTGCATTGTTCATGTATTTGACAAACATCGTTTCATGGTGTAAACAACACAGATTAAGGGTAAATTAAAACCAAAGAAATTAAGTGCTGTCTTTTGTGCTGGGATTTTGATTTTGGATTCAGAGCGTGCATTAGGGCCTTGTTGAATTTAGTAACATTTTCCTACACTGACGAGCGAATATCCTAGAAAGCAAATTGAAATAATCAATCTAGAGAGATTGGCTCGAAAACAACTCTATAGCTGCGTAGCTTCCCGTATGGAACCTCAGTGCCTGATGGTGAAACCGGCTAACTAACCAAAAAGACTGTTCAGTATTGATAAAGGTAGTTTTGATTGAATGTTGTGTGTGGAATTAAAATTTTAGCACAAGGATCAAGGATGGTATCTTATTTAAACTTCCATTGAATTCATATTGAATTATTGAATCATTGACTTAAATTATTGATTATTGACTCACAATTATTATTAAAATGACACAGTATCTTTCGATTTTTGACTAAATGGACATCATTTTCTACAAGACTGGAAAACTGCTTTTATATCGTCCATTCACAAAAAAGGAAATAGGCTGGATTGCAATAACTATCGGAGCAAATCAGTCACAAGCACACTAAGCAGACTATACGGTAGAATCCTGCGTGATCTCAGTGAAGAAGATTATAAACAGCAAGAAGAAGAAGAGCAGGAAGATCAGGTACGGTATTTTGCCTGAAACAAGTCATTAGAAAAGAGATCTGCTAGACATTTGGAAACCCACCTCACATTTGTGGACCTATAAGAAGCATAGGATACAGTCCCAGTATCCAGACTATGAAAGCTATTGGAACAATCCAACATCAATCACACCTATATAACGGCACTTAAAGAACTATATAAAGAATCAAAATCAAAAATTAAGATAGGTAAAAAACTTACAGGCATATTTATAGTGAATAAAGGAATACGTCAAGGATGTTGTATCTCTCCTACGCTTTTTAAAATATACGTAACAGTAGCATTGAAAAATTGGAAGAGGAAGATCCATGGAATAGGTATAGAGATAAATGATAGGTGCCTATATTTACTCTTCAGTTTGCAGATGATTAGGTCATAGTGGCCAGTGACAAAGAGGACATGCAATATATGATTAGAAAGCTGATAGAAGAGTACCAAGAATGGGGCCTGAGAGTTCATATAAATAGAACAAAATATCTATGTGTAGGCACCCAGAACGGAAACTTGGAAGTGGACGATGGTCAGGAAATTCTGCAATGCTAAGATAGGTATCACATTTGACAACACCGGAACAGACGTGAAAGATATAGGAAAGCGAGAGCAAGGAAATAACAAAGAAGAGAAAATTCAATATATATGTGACAATGATAAAGAGTAGCCTTCTATATGGAGCCGAGACTTGGAGAATTGCAGACAGACGAAAGAAAAAAGTGGAAGCAGTTGAAATGGATGCTGTTAGAAGATCCATGCGAATAATCTCACGAAGAGAGGGAATAAGGAACGACAATATAGAGCAACAAATGGGAATAGAAGGCATGATAAATCAGGACATTGAAAGGAAACAACGTACCTGGTACCGATACTTAGAACGAATGCCAAATGCAAGATGGCCCATAAAAATGCTGCATTGGCAACCAACAGGTGGAAGAAAACGAGGAAGACCAAAACTGGAATAGCAGAAGACCATACAAAAGTCCATGAGTAAAAGAAATCTCTCATCAGAGGATTGCAATGATAGAAGAGGATAAAAATTAGGTGTCGAACAACAAAGAAAGACGTTCTAAAACGACATCTGCATAAAATGTTTATAATTAGTGCCAGATAGGGTCAAACCTATTGAACTCTGTTGTAATAATCACACCATCCGGTCCCGCCACGTTTTATCGGTCAAGATAAACCTCCTTCGTATAAACATAAACATCCAAAAAGCTTAGTCACTTTAAATTTCCATTACATAATCAATTACCCAATAACAAAAATTATAGTCTATTTGGTTGGTTCATTTCTCAGTCATCTATTGAGACCTATATTCCATCACTCTTAAATTTAGAAGTCAGTTATACAATCCTTATAAAATTTTTGTTTATAAAGTACCCCTAGTTAAAATTTTGAATAGTTTAAGGTTTCAACTTAAAGCTGCGACTGAGTAGATCTCAGAGAATCATATTCATTTTCGATTTTGCTCGTTGGAAAAATTCTCATTAGCGATATACGTGATGCTACAAATAATCATTCATAAACTGTCCCCCATTGTGTTAAAACCGATGTTTTCGAAAATAAACGCGAGTTAATTAGATGAAAACTTGGAAAAACGCCCAGTGGCGGCCTTTTCTCAAAAGGATGCAACCTAACAATGATTGATTTGCTTTCTAGTTTCGGTACACCGGGACAAGAAAAGATGTCTTAAAACAAAAGCTTTATTGTTTTGCGTATTTTCGTTTTGCTTGAAATCTTTTGTGGAACATCGTCTTACAAAACAACGCCAAGTTTTTGAATCATTAGTTATCTTTTCCCTTGTACAACAACAATGTGCAAATACTAACTTACCCATTGAATGGATATCCAGCAAATGCAGTATCGTATGGATGGTAAACGGAAGGATACGGCCAACCGGCAGCGCCTGCTGCTAAATTTTCTTTCAGTTCTAATCCTGCAGCCTGAAACAAGAAGTTTTTTGATACATTCATCTTTGGAGTAAATAAAAACACTCAGTGTTGCGAAAACCCTTCACAACACACAAAATATCTCATATGTACCTAATGACATATAGCAATGAATAAATAGAATTAGGACGATATTATCATCCAAGAATGTATATGAAACAATAATTAATGCATAACTAAAACAATTTGCTATAAAACATAAATAATAACCTAATTAAACACTATTTCCTGAAGGTGGCAATTTATCTGCTAATGAACTTTTTTCAAACTAGATATAATTAAAGAAAAATAATTGAGCATGTTATAGTAACTGCAACATTATTTCCAACAAAATTAATAATAAATTAAATTAAACCATCCGAGCTGTCGTCAATAAAATAGCAAGTCAAAAATGTCAATATAAATGTGAGTCAAATTGGATTACCCTTGCTTTCAGGCTGTAATCTTTTTTAATTCTATTGACGTTTTTATTTGTTGCGACCTGTACAATGAAGCCTTCGACAATATTGTTAGCTTTGAAATAGGAATTTAATTGATATTATTGAAGCTTTATAATTATTATTTATTTTTAGGAATACTCGGTTCTATACCGTAGGTAAATTCATTAGAAACCTATATACCTACGAGCTCCTGAAATATCGTCGATGTAAGTGATAGAACGTAAGATTTTTTAAACTTTCTCAGAAATATGCTCAAAACATGATGGCGTCCTTGCCGAACTGTACCACACATTGACCCACACCTCGGAATATTTGAAAATTTATCATCTCATGACGGCTTAACATTCTTGAATCTCTAGGCCAATTAAAATTTTAATTGTTCGTGTTCTACATTATGCATAATAGAAAACTTTTACTTTTTCTCTAAGTCATTCGCAAGGACCACCAAAATTATTATCTATTGTGTCACATCAACCACCCAAACAACGAAACTTTCAGTTTAATAAAAAGCTCCTCAGGGGGACAAACGGAACTTAAACATAACTCTCAATTTAATCTACAGAAGTTACATTGTGTCCTCGGATCAAGTTCAAAATTGTAAACTACACCCTTGGCTTTCTGTTTTGGTCGAGTGAAAATTAATCCGTCGAGTTGAAAACCAGTTCCGATATAAACTATATTATGATTATAAAACACTCTCGCCAGTATATTATTAATACAATAAAGCTTGTTCACGCACTTAACTCGGTACCTGTCCTCCCACGCAATATCTTTGAACGCGCACACAAACAAAATGTTTTATGTCGCGGTACTCGGTCGTAAATCAGGGATAGCAGAGTGGCCAACGAATATGTGTTTGTGGTGTGTAACTTCATTAACGTCCGTTGTATTAATCATGGAGCCGTTGCGTTGCTTAACAACGAAACCCTTGACAGCAGCACCTTCAACCTTTTTTTATGTCAGGCTTTTTTTTTCTGTAGGCAATGTTTATTAACTTGAAGACCGGGATGTTTGAATTTCGGAGTTGGTCACTATTTGAGAATTCCTTGTGAAAAGAGTGAAAATGTGCGACTGAAAAATAGAACCTGAAAAGTGCCGCAGTCATCCGGCATGAACTTTGGTCGAGGAAGGTACGAATAAAAAATGAGAGGCTTGTTAATAGATGCATGTCAGATATCGGAAGATGTTGAACATTGTATAAAAGAAGCACAAAATCTATTGTCACGAGTCTCCAGTGTAATCCTTTTCTCTCAGTTTGAGAGCATCAATCCATCTCATCTTTGGTATAAATCTTGATCTGTGACCGGCATATCCTTATATGGTCTCCATAACATTAGTTCTGAGTTCCATCTGTGACGTTTCTATTTTACATGGTGTCCTGCGAAACTCCATCTCAGATGCTTGAGTTTAAATTCTGCGTCCTACAACCAGGTTTTCGCTACTATCCATGCATTTCTGTCCGTAAATCTTATGTTCAACAATATCCGCTCCATTGCTGTTCAAGTCTTAAATTCCTATATGGGCTTTAGACATTGGTTGAAATCTCTGCGTCTCATGTGACGTGGATTTTTTTGATACGATTTCCGTGTTGTTTCTTCCATCAAGTTTCAATATCTGTCCTTCATAAATGTATTTGCTGACTTTTCCCAAAGATAGGTTTTCAATGGCAACTATCTTCTTTTTTCTTCAACGTAATTGTTCATCGATTTCAATTCCAATTTTTTTTTCAAACTAATTTTTTTTCCAATGGTCTTGCCAACTGGCTAAACATCAACTGTTACTCTTTAAAACTCTTGGAAATGAGAACGATATTGTGGGCGAACCGTAGATGATTCAATCCTTTACTGTTTGTATGCATGCCATGTCTACTGACTTGAAAACATCCATTGTCAGCAAGAAATGTTTCGGTGAAGGGGTCGTCAAGTACCATTAGATTTGTACACCGTCTTATAGTACCCACATTAAAGTCTTGTATAGATTAGGGACTCATGAATTCAAAAACTAGAGGTGGGCCAACTTGCGATTTTACTGGAGCTGTGACAAGACGTGACTGCTCCAGTCGTGTCACGGTGATAAATAGCAGTGATTTTTTGGAACAGTTTAACCTTGATTGGCCATGCTGGTAATACATATAAATGCTACATTACATAATCGCAGTCCGCCCAGTTCGCAGTCACGGTCGAGAGAGGTATTCCAGTTTGTCCTCTGCAGTAGCAGTTTCTGTTTGGCGTCACCGCGCTGTATCTGCATCGGTGAAGCAGTGACAAAGTCACAGTTCATGAAATCACGACCTACCTCTAAAACTGAGTACTTAAAGTGCATCCTACTTTATCTCCTTCTTTGTTTCACTCATTTATAACCGCATTTGTTGTTTTTGCAAATGTATCCTACCTTATCTACTTCTTTGTGTTACTATTTTCGCTAAAAATACAATCAAATTAACTTTAAATCCAACTTTTTCTTGAATTTTCCGATTTTTCAAGGATTTTTCAATCAAAAAAACTTGTTTAAAGTACGAGGCTTTGAGTTTCCTTCATTTTCTGACAAAAATTTCCAGTTTTCCAATTTTCCACTTTTCTAAGGCTTCTTTATTCGGAAAAAGACTGTTTTGAGTGCGGGGCTTTAAATTTGCTTCAATTTTTCACCAAAAACTTCAATTTTTAGACTTAAATAGTATCCTACTTTATCCCTCTCTTTGTCTTACTCACTATCAAATTATTAGTCGGCCATTTTGAAGTGTCGTGTTTACATTTTTATCCAGGTTTTCCTCGAATTTTCCACTTTTCCAGGGTTTTCTCAGTCGAAAAAACTGGTTTAAAGTATGAGGCATCGAGTTTTCTCCATGTTCTGCTAGAATTTTCCAGTTTTAGATCCATTAATTTACGGTCAAAAGGTGAGTGGGAAAAAATTATTGAAAAGCATGTTTTTGAGGCCTTATTTAAGGAATTTCTAATTTTAAAATCGTTATTAATTAATTATTTAACGGGTTTTTATTTATTAAATTACAAGTAGAATCGTATTATAAATGTATTTTTTTGGAAGTTTTGTGATGTGGCAACACCGCTTGTAGCTTCAAGGAGACCTTGTAGTAATTGTCGCCATTTTTGACAGTCGGCCATTTTCAATTGACAAGTTTACATTTTTATCCAGTTTTTCCTCGAATTTTCCGCTTTTCCACGCCGTTTTCAATCAGGAAACCCGTTTTAAAGTTCGAGACTTTGAGTTTTCTCCATTTTCCACCAAAAATTTTCAGTTTTCCAATGGAGTAAGTGACGAAAACTTTGATTTTTTAAGTAGGCTTTGAATGTTGGTTTTCCATTGAATTTTCTACTTCCAGGGATTTTTTAATTAGCAAAAGATGATTTTATGCTATGAATTTGCTTAATTTTTTCACCAAAAACTTCTATTTTTAGACTTAAATTGTTTCCTACTTTATCTCCCTTTTTGTCTTACTTACTATTAAGCAGGCCTTAGAATGTAATTTTTATTGAAATTTATTAAAAATAAGATTCCAATGCATTATTTTCGGAATTTATCATTTCATGAACATTATTAATTAATTATTTAAACATTAAACTATTTAAAATGAAATTTTTTCCTGTTTGAGATGTGGCAACGTCGCACAATGTCATTTCCCAGTTTTGACAGTCGGTCTTTTTTGAATGTTTTTATCCAGTTTTTCGTCGAATTTTCCGCTTTTCCAGGCCGTTTTCAATTGCGAAAACCGATTGAGAAGACGATACTTTGAATTTCCTTAATTTTTTGCCAAAAATTTCCAGCTTTCCAATGGGGTAAGTGACAAAAACTCTAGTTTTATTAAATAGACTCTGGAATCTGGATTGTCATTTTTACGGGATTTTCTTTGGATTTCCCGCTTTTCGAATGCTCTTTCGATAGGGAAAACCTATTTTAAATACAAGGCTTTGAGTTTTCTTCATTTTCATCTAAAAATTTCAAATTAACTTTTCCACGAAGAGGAAACTTCAATTTATAAATCCTGAAAGTTTCAAATGATTGTGATCAATATAAGTACTTTGTACAAGTGACTTTTGCAGATTTTAATAATTTTTGTATGCATTAACGTAAGGAAAACCTCCCAAATTCAGTTTGGAGCTTCAAATCAACTTCAAATTAACTTTTCCACAAAGAAGAAACTTCGATTCCTAAATCCTGAATGCTTCAAATTACTGTGATTATTGGAAGTACTTTACACAAGTGACTTTTGCAGATTTCAATAATTTTTGCATGCATTAACGTAAGAAAAAGCTTCTAAATTTCATTGGCAGCTTCAAACCAACTTTAAATTACCTTAACCACAAAGAGGAAACTTCAATTCATAAATCCTGAAAGTTTCAAGTTACTGTGATTAATGAAAGTTTTTTGCACAAGTGATTTTTGTAGATTTTAACCATTTTTGCATGCATTAACGTAAGCAAAAGCTTCCAAATTTAGTTTAGAGCTTCAAATCAACTTCAAATTAACTTTTTCATAAAGAGGAAACTTCAGTTTATAAATCCTAGAAGTTTCAAGTTTCTGTGATCACTGAAAGTATTTTGCACAATTGAGTTTTGCAGATTTTAATCATTTTTGCATGCATCAACATGGGAAAAAGCTTCTAAATTTAGTTTGGAGCTTCACATCAACTTTAAATTAACTTTTTCACAAAGAAGAAAATTCAGTTCATAAATCCTGTAAGTTTCAACTCACTGTGATCATTAGAAGTACTTTACACTTGAAGTGATTTGTGCAGATTTTAATCAGTTTTGCATGCATTATAAAATAAAATAAAGTTTCCAAATTCAGTTAGGAGCTTTAAATCAACTTCAAATTTACTTTTTCACAAAGAGGAAACTTCAATTCCTTGATCCTGAAAGTTTCAAGTTACTGTGATGATTGGAAATACTTTGCACAAGGGATTTTCGCAAAATTCAATCATTTTTACATTCATTAATGTAAAAAAAACCTCCAAATTTAGTTTGAAGTTTCAAATCAAGTTTAAATTAACTTTTAAACAAAAAGGAAACTTCAGTTCATAATTCCTAAAAGTTTCAAGTTACTGTGATTATTGGAAGTATTTTGCACAAGTGATTTTTGCAGATTTTAATAATGTTTGCATGCATTAACGGAAGAAAAAGCTTCCAAATTTAGTTCGGAGCTTCAAATCAACTTCAAATTAACTTTTCCACAAAGATAAAGCTTCAATTTATAAATTGTGGAAGTTTTAAGTTACTGTGATCATTTGAAGTACTTTGCACAAGGGATTCCTGCAGATTTTAATCATTTTTACATTCATTAACGTAAAAAAAAGTTTCCAAATTTAGTTTGAAGTTTCAAATTAACTTTTAATTAACTTTTACACAAAAAGGAAACTTCAATTCATAAATTCTGGAAGTTTTAAGTTACTGTGATCATTTGAAGTACTTTGCACAAGGGATTTCTGCAGATTTTAATTATTTTTACATTTATTAACATAATAAAAGGCTTCTAAATTTAGTTTGGACCTTCAAATCAACTTCAAATTAACTTTTCCACAAAGAGAAAACTTCCATTCATAAATTCTGAAAGTTTCAAGTTTTTGTGATCATTGAAAGTATTTTGCACCAGTGATTCTTGCAGATTTTAATTACTTTTGCATGCATTAATATGGGAAAAAGCTTCCTTTAGTTTGGAGTTTCAAATCAACTCCAAATTAACTTTTCCACAAAGAGGAAATTTCAATTCATAAATCCTGAAAGTTTCAAGTTACTGTGATGATTGAAAATACTTTGCACAATGCACAAGGGATTTTCGCAGAATTCAATAATTTTTAGATTCATTAACGTGAGAAAAAGCTTCTAAATTTGATTAAAGCTTCAAAACAACTTCAAAATAACTTTTGCATAAAAAAGAAACTTCAATTCATAAATCCTGAAATTTTCAAGTTACTGTAATCATTGAAAGTATTTTGTACAAGTGATTCTTGCAGATTCTAATCATTTTTGCATGCATTAACGTAAGAAAAAGTTTTTCAATTTGATTCGCAGCTTCAAATCAACTTCAAATTAACTTTTCCATAAAGAGGACACTTCAATTCATAAATCCTGGAAGTTTCAAGTTACTGTGATCATTAGAAGTATTTTGCACAAGTGATTTTTGCAGGTTTTAATAATTTTTGCATGCACTAACGTAAGAAAAAGCTTCCAAATTTAGTTTGAAGCTTCAAATCAACTTCAAATTAACTTTTCTACAAAGAGGAAACTTTAATTCATAAATGCTGAAAGTTTCAAGTGACTGTGATCATTAAAAGTACTTTGCACAAGTGATTTTAGCAGAGTTTCATCATTTTTGCATGCATTAACTTAAGAAAAAGCTCCTAAATTTGTTTTGGAGCTTCAAATCAACTTCAAATTAACTTTTCTAGGTGGTTTACCATTCGAAGCTACTTGTTTGAAAACAAAGATATTGCAAAGTGACTATTGGGAATAATGACGGTACCGAAGGTGGTGCAAATGGCGATGGAAAGATTTGTTCCATAGAAATATCGCTTCCAAAAAACAAACGAACATATCCATTGATGAGATACATAACAAAAGTAGTCGATGTAGCTCCAAATTAAAATGTAGCCGAACATGCTGCTAAGGCTCATGATAATTACCAAGAAGATAACCCTGCATGGGATAGGTAGATGACGTAAATACAACAACAGGCTTGAACTGAAAATCAGTGAATAGGCAACGATAGAAGATTAAAAGGAAGGCGAAGAATCCTTGTCCATAAAGCCACAAGAAACTGAAAAAAAGCTTTCTGAAAATAAATCCTTCTCTTTTCTGCAACAGATATGTGTGTCCTCTTATAGGAATAATTGGGGTTCTATTTTTTTTTTTATCTTTGTGGAGTTTCCAGTAGATTGAGGAGGAGCAATGTCAGCAAGATGTCTATTTCAGTGGCGGTTTTGACAGAGACTTATATTGGGTTGAGACAGACGCAAGAACTTCACCAAAAGCTCAACAATGGTAACAATAATAATTGACAATGAGTAAGAATTCAGTATAGAAGACACAGGAAAAAGGATTTGTGAAATGTTATACAGGAGTCGAATTAGACTAAGATGGAAGCAGCAGAAAAAAAATAAATAAGAAAATGCAGTCAAAACATTTATCGAGCAAAGAAATCTTAATCAAAAAAATTGGTATACCTATGGCAGTATAATGAGCAAAAATTAAAATAATGTGTGAGACGTGAAAGTCTAAGAATATTAGCATCAAAAAAATAAGATATTTTTTATACAGACAATTCCTGGTCCGAAATTTCTAGTGTTTCTGGAAGCCGGCGTTGAAATTTCGACAAGCAATGGCGGAAAGCTTGGGAACTTCGTAAATTATTTCAACTATCTACTTAAATTAATCCTTATAGATACTCGAGAAGTTCTAACAAATCGTTTTAACACAATAATAAATTGTGCTCCTTGGAATGTAAGTAGGTAATCATACGCTAATATTAAAATTATGTGAGAATATATCTCTTTCGATTCCGGCTCTGTGCGGTGGTAAAAAATTCTAGGAAGTAGAATACGATTTCTAGGTAGCCGGGAGCACGCAACGTTAAAATATGAATAAATTTGAAAAAATTATTCTCTAAAAAGAAATGCAATGAGATTCAGATAAAAAGAGAAGGAAACGAAAGATAATTAACCTCATTTTATTATTGCTATTGTGCTTATGATTTTGTAGTAAATTTGCCACATAAATACTTCCTTGATTTGCGGATGAAAATGATACTTATGAGTCCTAATACAAGGAGGCGTCATAATCATATTAGACAAACTTAATGCATTTGTCCCATAACGATACCCATTTATCTGCCCACATAAAATGGTTGAATCTCATCATCGCTATAACAAAACAATCAAGCCTCCATGGGTAGGCAATCAACTAATTGTTCAGCATGTTTAATTAAAATACAGTAGTGGAGACACCTCATTATAAGTCCATTGTTTTGCTTTCGAGTTTATAAATAAATGTATATTTTTCCTCGGTTATATGATTTAATTTATTTGTTACAATATACTATTGTTTTGTTACCAATGTGTTAGATTACACAGGGCCTGATCCAGGCTTCACTTTTCCGCTAACACTTGTAGAAATTTATTGATAATAAAACAGTTATAATGGGACATAAATATTACACGTTGTATATAAACAAGCTATATATCTTTTAGATACAATTTCCCATTAATAAAGTGCTTTTAATAATGTTTTATCGCAATTTATAAGTACTCATTTGCTATAGATGTTTTAAAAATAAAATAAAATAGTTAATACTTACAGATGTGGTATAGAAAGGTGCCTGATCAGCTCCAAGGGCTGGAAAATAGGCTGCCATTCCTTCAGGATACGGCGCACTGTACATGCTTAAAGCTGGCAAACCAGGTACTCCGGCACCTTTAAAAAAAATCAAGTCTTAGAAAAATTCAATATTGGTTTTTATTTGTGACTAGCTGACCCGGCGAACTTCGTACCGCCTCTGAGTTATTAAATATATCTGAGTCAGATACCTATTAAATGTTGTTTTAACGTATCTAGTAGCTGAATTAAATTCAGGTCAAACTAGAGTCGCTTGCCACTGAGTTCAGTGACGCATTTTAAGAAGCACTCCAGAGCTGCTCTAGAGCGCCCCAGGCTGTTTATAGGCGTTCCAGTGTATCAGAGTTTCGCGCAACTGAACTTTTTTTTCGGGATAAAAAATAGCCTATCACTCCTCTCTATTCGATTGACCGGATTAGATCGATCTGGTTCAATTTAGGTGAACCACACTGTGTTCGATTGAGGTTGGATCAGTGCACCTTCATCAACAAAAAAATGATCTAGATCAGAAGAAGTTCACTTAAATTGAACCCAAATCGATCTAATCTAGGTCAATCGAATTCGGCTTATATATAGATACGTGGTATTAAATTCAAGATCGGTCCAGCCGTTCTCCAATTCAAAAAATAATAAAGTTACGTTGGTTGAATGGCAAGCCTGAATAAATGAAATGTGGCAACGTTGTTTCATGCTGTCAAAAAAAAGATGGGTTATGTTGTTATGTAATGTGAATGATTTTGTTTACAATTAAATTAATAATTGAGTAATTCAAAATTAATTTCTTTTTCCCAGATGCGTAACCTATCCACAAACCTTCCTTGGGATGGCCATAACAACCTACCAAAATTTCATCGTAATCGGATAAGTGGTGTAGGAGCGCATAAGGCGCAAACCCAGTAAGCAAGCAAGCAAACAAACATAAATTTTTATACATATAGATAATTACCTGCTAATCTTTGGTAGCCCAACAATTCGTATTGGCACGAACAAACAGTTTGTCCGGTAATCGGATCAGTAAAAATCGGTCGACCTGTATCGCAGCATCTCTGCGCAGGCGTCGGCGGTGTTCCAGGAGTGGGAGCTGATGACGTAACAGCCATGACGCTTGGTGGTGGTGACGTTTGAGATGGACCCGATGATACTGCACTCTGGAAATAAAAAAATATACTTTAAATTCACATGAACCTGATAGACTTGAAACACTGCTTGTTCATAAGATGGCAAGAACAGGTTTATAAAAATTGTAAATTTGAAACATCGGAAAGGAGACGCAACTTTTATTTTTAATAATGGCATCCCGTATTCGCAAGAGTAAGCTAAATAAGTAATTCGATTTAACAGGCGGCCGAATTTTAGGCAGTCGCCGTGAAACAAAACTCCCGCGGCGTCAGGCAGTTATGACTCTTATGCCTTAACGGCATAGAGGCCGAAAACTCGAAAGTGTACATTTCGTAATGGGAGATATGTACACCTCGGTGAGCATTCCGGGACGATTTTCAAGGGGAAACAAGGTGTACGAAGTTGGGTTTTGGGAGGGCGAAGTAGGGAACAAACGTATATACGACCCGCCCTTTTGAATCTAGATTGTTCGAATATTTGTGTCATTTTTTTTTACATTGTTATGTAAAATGTAAGGGCGGGTCTGTATGAAGATACAGAGTGATCAATATTTTATTATTCTCGGCACTTGTAGGAAATCTTTCACGCAAGCTGGTAATTGAAAACAATTCCACCACTGTGTAAAGATACAGAGTGATCCATATGTGATTATCCCTGGCTCTTAATATAGAAAATCTTTCACGGAAGCCGGTAATAGAAAACAATCTTACCCACTGTAATTTGACTCATTTTAGGTTTAAATTAGAATACTTGCAAATAAGAACAAAATGTTGCCTTAAAGCTACCGGCCCATTACTCTCTCGCCTCTTCTGAGCAAAATGCTAGAGAGAGCAATCAATATTTTATTATCTCCGGCTTTTAATGTAAAAAATCTTTCACGAGAGCCGGTAATAGAAAACATTTTTACCCACTGTAATTTGATTCAACAAAAAAGAGCCACTGCATGAAGATATACAGAGTGATCAACATTTTATTATTCCCGGCTCTTCTAGAAAATCTTTCACGAAAGCTGCTAGGTAATCGAAAACAATTCCATCACTGTGTAAAGAAACGGGGTGATCAATATTTTATTATCCCCAGCTCTTAATGTAGAAAATCTTTCACGAGAGCCGGTAATAGACATTTTTTTACCCACTGAAATTTGATTCATCAAAAATAAGCCACTGTAATAAGGTACAGAGTGATCCATACTTTATAATCTCCGGCTCTTGTAGGAAATTTTTCACGCAAGCTGGTAATCGAAAACAATTCCACCACTGTATAGAGATACGGGGTTATCAATATCTTATTATCCCCGGCTCTTAATGTAGGAAATCTTTCACGAAAGCCATAATAAAAAACAATGTTTTCTACGAGTATTGAATAATATGCGTAATATACATCAATTTTCTATTGATCAATGTGAATGATTACTGCATACAGTAAGTTTTTTTTCATTACTTAATCGTTTTCAACCAATAGAAATATCCTGGTCTCATTACTTCACTTGAGAGCCAATCAGAAAATTCGACAAGTTGACAACATACTTCAACCTTCCAATCGGTCATTTTGACAGCTGATTTGGACAAGACTTGTGCTAACCTAACCTCACTTTGTCCTCTTAATGTAGGAAATCTTTCACGAGAGCCGGTAATGGAAAACAATTTTACCCACTGTAATTTCATTCAACAAAAATAAGCCACTGTGTAAAGGTACAGAGTGATCAATACTTTATTATCCCTGGCTCTTGTAGGAAATCTTTCACAAGAGCTGGTAATCGAAAACAATTCCACCACCATCTAAAGAAACGGTGTGATCCATATTTTATTATCCCCGGCTTTTAATGTAGAAAACCTTTCACGAGAGCCGGTAATTGAAATAGTACCTATATTACATATAGAGGTAAAAGGGTTTCATTATTGTCGAGGGATACTGGTTGACCGAGGTGCGAAGCGCCGAGGTCAACCAATTCTCGAGACAATATATATGAAAACTTTCCACCGAAATATGTATAATATTTTATTTTGAACCTTTAATTATTGAAAAAAATAAGGTAACTGACACTTGCACAGTGACATGGACATCTTATGACATTTCAACAATATAAACACATGTGACAACTACTTCTAAACACAAATATTGCACCTGGATTTGTGTTTAGGTGTGAAAGAACAATTTAGCAGATCGAAAGTGAGTTCTCTAGGTCGAAAGTGATTCAACAAAAATAAGCCACTGTATAAAGATACAGAGTGATCAATATCTACTTTATTATTCGCGGCTCTTATAGGAAATTTTTCACGAGAGCTGGTAATCGCAAACAATTCCACCACTGTGTAAAGATACGGGGTGAACAATTTTTATTATCCCTGGTAGACATGCAAGGGTGCAATTACGACCGTTGAATGCACTCGCATCCTTGCATCATTCGAACCAAAGATTTGAACATTCGTGCAAACCGAAAAGGAACAACAGACGACAGCCAAGTGAGGTTATATGTGAAAACATTATTCACATTGTTTTTTTTTTGCGCATTCTTTTCATTGTTTTGTTGTTGAAATCATTCATTCTCAGCATTCAGCCAGCATCAACCATTTGTTCATTGTAATCTCAGAAAATCAAGTTTCCATTTCATGCAAAATCGACAATTAAGTCGTTAATGCTATTAGCAGCAATTTAAAAGCGGAACGCTGTATTAAGTTATTAATTGAAAGTTGTTTTTGAAATACAATACAACGTGTGTTTTACTTTATGTCCATAAAGTAATGGTCCTTCGAAACCGGATATCATGGATCATGGATAAGTGTGGTTCTTGATATAAAAGCAGTTAGTCAGAGCAGAGTCAGCAACAACAGTCAAGGTCAGTTCGTTCCATATTTAATTTTCCCTTTATTCCCATCATATATTTTATTATTGTTTGCATTTGATTCACAACCTGTATCATTACTTACACATAACACAGCAAATAGTGATTTATTAACATCATTTCAAAAATAGGATTTAACAAAATGCATTCACTTTAATAGATTTAAAAACATTATTAAAAGGAAGAGCTTATACTTTAGAGAGTATTCGGAGAAATAGAACTTGGGGTAAACAGGAAAAAAGAAAAAAGAGTTTGGTTGCAGAAGTAGAGCAAGCTAGAGGACAACAAATATCAGCAATTTCCAATGGGAATCACAAGTATTTCAAATGTCAAACCTTGCTCAATCTACCAGTTTTAAGACGGATCGTGAAGATGATTAATTTGAAATTATGTGTCAATTGTTTTCGAACAGGTCATCAAGGTAAAACATGCAAGTATGGTTCTTGCAAGCACTGCCAGGGTAAGCATAATTTGATATTGCATTTAGATCAGCCTTATAAGCAGAATTTCAGTACAGAGGATCAAGCTTCACAACAGGAGCACAAGTCAAATTCAGGATCAATTCAAGTCAACATAAAAATTCAAGTTCAAGTTCAAATTTAATGCAATCAAAGGATACAGGTCTTTTATCAGATGAGTCAAATCATTTAGATAGTCCAAAAATCATTTGTGCTAAAAAATCAGATAGTCAAATTTTGTTGTCAACCGCAAAGCAGTTTCATAACAATTAGATTTTGTGAGAAGTTAGATATTCCCATCCAAAGGCTTGATATTACAGTGTCAAGGCAGGCCTTTCAGGCGCTTTATCTAATATTTAGGGTTCCATACGCTGTTTGGAACTGCTCTAGAATGATTAGAGCTTTGTTTTGGATTCACTCAGAACTAGTTCGGAATCATTCTGCACATGCGCATGTTATCAAAAGCGTTTCCGTTTTTTTAGAGTCGAAATCGAACTGTGTTTAGAGCCTTTTGGATTGTGTAGAGCCATATAAGAACAGTTCTGGGATTGCTCTGGATTTTAAAGCATGAGTAACACTTCTCGGGCCAAAGGATTGTAACAACAGTTTGTTAGCAATCTGCCTTATTATTTAACATTCAACAACACGTTGAAAGATTGACAATCAACAAAAACTAACTGGTATACAAAAGTCAAAAACGACACAGGTACGAGGTAAAATACTTCTACAGATACAGTGAGCATCAAAACTTATATGCAACACGCCACCTCAATTAAAATGTATATATTATAACAAAATAAAATAAGAAAACAAATAGGTACATTTAAATTACCACAAAACAATGGCTACGTTCACCAAAACCAAAACGGATTGTAAACAGTTTACCAATACCAACAGAATATGTTGGGTAAACTCTTGCTTCTGCTGAACGATTCAACTTTTCAATGATAGAACGTCACCTTCTGAATGACAGGTTACCACAGAAAACCCAGTGTTCAAAAATTATAAACACTCTGAAATTATGCTTGCAAAAATGGCGACCGTTTTCAAAACATGTTTGTTTTTAACACAAATTCAACGTAGCGCTCAGCAGAACAATCGCAAACCGTTTACCAACGTTTGTATCTGGTGAACGCGGCCAATATAAAAAGTAAAAACACATTACTGGCTCAATAAGCTCTGCCTAGATTTCACAAACTTTTCTTTTCCTAACGACTTCGTAAACACATCGGAACAGTTATCATTGGAACAAATGTAAATAATTTCTATTATCTTTTTCTGACAAAGGTCTTTAATGAAATAATAATTTATTTCTATGTGTTTACCTCGCTTGGAGTTCTCAAAGTTTTTAATCATGGAAATAGCACTTTGATTGTCTATTTTTAAAGTAACAGGTTTGCATTCGCCAAAGTCTGCTAAAATACCTCTCAAATTGACCACCTCCTGAGCTGCGCAACCAGCTGCTACATACTCAGCCTCCATTGAAGAAAGGGCTACACAACTCTGCTTTCGTGAGTTCCAAGCTATTGGATTCCCGTCATGGAAACATATGAAACCACTTCCACTTCCTTGTCTGCCTATCACCAGCCCAATCTGCATCACACATAGCTTCTAAGCCGCTATCATTTTTCTCATACATCAATCCATAGTTCTTAGTTCCATTAAGGTAGCGCATAATCCTTTTTTCAGCTTTCCATGCTTGTATTGTTGGCTTGTCCAGGTATCGGCT